TGAAAAAAATCGGTCCATCCCATGCCATCCTATTGAAGAAACAGCTATAGATATACATATTCTTTTCTAGACGAGGAAAGATACCAATGTTTTTTTTCGTATAGATGATATTCTTATCTGTTTTAGTGGACGATGATAACTGTTAATAATCTGCAACATTTACATCGATTATTTGTGGATGTAATGAAACCTTCTGAGCTTGTATGACTTCAGTCTATAAACGTCGTCGTAGATTCAAATATTTGAAAAGCGTGAAAAGAGTTCCAATTGGGTAAAGGTAATGACATATGTCAATATATTTTAATCATAATTCCTTACTATTCTCGAAGAGTTACAAACATGATCGTATACATTTCAATTTCAAATTCAAGTTTCGATCTTTTGTTGAAGGCTAAGAAGTATAATCATATACTTTTTAATCGTCGAACCGTTTCGTTTTATTTTTTCGATGGAAACATAGAAGTACAGAGCATTTAAGAAACCATTAATTTCTCGTAATTTTGCTGCTTTATTCTAAAATAATAAATATTTTCTTTTCTATTTTAGAATTTGTCAATCAACTGATAGATATTTCTACAGCCGATGAACAGTAATGTTTCGTTTTTAGTTTTTTAGATACAATTAATCATGTTGATGATCTATTTTGCTATTGTTATTTTATGTCTTGTATCAAGAATTTCGACTCTGCCTGCACCAGCTTTCGTTCAGTCAGCTGTTATCTATAACGCACAAAATTTACCGATTCAGTGTTATGTAGTCCGGTCTCATCCAAACGGACGACTATTAAAATATAGGCCATTTATTATTCGGGAAAATGAATATCGTTTACTAAAGGAAGTAATATTGAATATGGGAACATGGACAAGTGCTGCACCAATAAAGAAAATTCAATGTGGAAATTTAGTACTTGCTGCTCCATTTGATCGTGTTAAATCAATAGAAAAAAATTGGGAATTTCATATTCAACCAGATAAAATTGTATCAGTTGGACCCAGTTCATATGTTGCTAAGACTTGATAATTTTTTCTAACTATTGAACGCCTAGAAACATCACATACATGTATTTACATATATGTACATGTCAAATAGAAGGAAGTTAATCTCATTTTTTATTTTTATTAGAGGAGTAACAAGCAAACACTACGAAATTTAGCGGTTTCCCACTTTGCTGACAATTTTTTTTTTTTTTTGAGAATAAAACAAAACCTATAAAAACGAATCAGTGTCACTAATTTTCTCTCTTTAGAAATAGTTTATCTGTGTATGGTAGTTTAGATTAAAGGAATAGAATAGTGAGTATAGTATAGATCCGCGAAGAATAGTATGAAGTCTGTATAAGTAGATCAACAACTGATTCATACTTTAATGGTTGACACTAAAATACAATTTGTTGGTTGCGATAATATTCGTAGATTATCTTCATTATGTTCAAGAACACGTTGCGAAATCGATCGTAAGATTCTATTATCTTAAGTTTTGAAACAAAAATATTATTAATTTGAATTAAATTGAAAAATATAAATTTTTTATCATTGAGAAAGACTTTTTTACAAGATGACACATGTTAGATTATGTAGTATATTCTTATAGGTCAGTATTAGGATGACATATCTTCGTGATCGTATATAACATTCATGTACAAAAATAGTAATTGAGTACATTGTGTTTTTCTTTGCAAATTACTACATTTGTTTGCATGGAATACGATGACATATAATTGTTATGTAGAGCCACATAGACCACTGCATTTCATAGAGTATGACTCTTGACGACTGTATGCGTTTAACTTAAGTGTTTGAAAAGTTTTTTACAATGTTGTCCATCAACAGATTGTCCCAATGAAGCAAAGCGAACTAGTATTGATATAATTTTGTTGCTGTCTCACAAATTTTTGATTTATATTTTCTTTCTTCTCTTGGATATGTACATGAATATATATGTATGTGTATTGTTCTTTCTTACTTTTCATTATCCTGTTCTTTTCATTTTGATTACTCTCATGCTTTTTATTTTTATGAAGATAAAGTTTTCCTGTATCTTTTTTTTTTTGAAGAATAAAAGAGAAAGGAAAAGGCAAGCCAACACACAGTACACTGGCTGATATTTCGTATGACAAACGTTAGCATAACAACGAAGAAAGCATATTATTATTGTCAATTATATTCGATTGTTGTAATAAAGATTTTAAACAAACATTTATCAATGCTTTAGTTTCATCGATTGAAAACAAAAATTCCCTCACTATCTACAGATGTTTGATTTCAATATAACTACAGTAAAGTGCTATTCATTTATGTATCAGCACTTTATTTTGAAACATTAATTTTTTTTTTTAATATCATCATTTTAACAATGAATACAAATAAAAATCAAGATGAAAAATAATCTATCGTTTTTATCTCGATATTATTAGAAATATCGATTAAACATCTTCACTATATGAATCTTTAAACAAAAGAAAAACATGAGGATGATTATTATTCATGGACATACGTTCAATAAGCACGCGTATCTAAATTTCGCTTATATCAACAAGTTATCCTATAGTTCATTATCTGATACAAGTCGTTTTTGTCTTGGTAAAGTAAATAGATGTTTCAAAAACAGTTCTATATATATATATCAACGTTTACGTGCAAGATCTATCATACGTCTCTGGTTTTCTTTTCCAATAACATGTGATGCAGCACGAAAATTATTGTTATCTTTCACGTTTATTCCTTTATCACTGAGATTATACGTCAGTTGATTCATATTTTCTTCTCTAAACAAGGTACCAATCTATATCGCTTTTGATTAATTTAGAAAACTTTCTGAGCAATCTTTTCAATTTTATTCACTAACGACCATCATCTTATAAATGTGCTGAAAGACTTGATTAAAAAAATCGAAATTGTACTCCTTGATCTATGGAATCGGATGCTTGTTGACATTGTTTTTCAGTTGAACGAATAGCAAGAAGACGATTGAAATTTTCATCATCTATATCTCAGCATAGATCATTGAAAAATTGTTCAGTTGCTTTGACAGCTAAATCAGCTGCTTGTTTACTAGAATAAAACGAAAATAAACTAGACAACTACAACAGTTTCCTACACTCAATACTCTTATATTACGAATATGATTTATTCATTTACTGAAGATTAGAATGAGGTGAGGTGTGGAGTGTGGATGTGCGTATAATGGTTGGATCATGTTAAAAAAAAAACATATGAATTAGCATCAAATGATCAAAGAAAAGGTTTAATAATTGCCGGTGAAACAATTGATGATCAAGGATGAGAAAGTTTTCATCCATTTCTTTTCAACAAAGATTCATTCATATTGATTTCTTCGAAGATATTTAATGATTAAATGCTTGTTGACATAGCAACAAACACTAATACGAACAAACTATTATGTTTATTTCCTAAATGGTGATTATGTGTCAATGAAATAGTAAACATTATCAGGTTTAAACATATATCTATGATTAATATCGTTGTGTTTCTTCTATTTTCAGATGAGCTTAGTACAGAAAAACTTTTGAACAATCCATGGATTCCTACTTATTTTATTCTTGATGTGTAAAAACAACATATTAAAAATAAACATTATCAAAAAAAAACATTGTGAAAATATACAACAATGTAATTAGCTGTTATCCCTTCATTGCACGAAAAAAATGTATCACTATCTGATGCATTATTTGTTGATGAGTTGTTCTTCAACTTACCTATTTTTGCTTTCTAAATTTCATTTTCTGGCTGATATGATACTATAACACCATTACTATTACGCGATGACTGTCCATAAATTTTTCGATACGATGATGATGCATGATTATTGTGTTTAGTGAAGTTATTCATATCATATTTACTGATATTCGTTGATGTTGATCGACGAGGTGAAGATGAGCGTGGTGCATGTAAATATTGATGGTTATTGAACGAAGGATAAGTAACACCAGCTGATGCATATTATAAATTGTTTGTTTGTATTGGTTAACAAGAACACTGATGATACGAACCAGTTGTATTATTTGAATTATTGCGAATCTTTAAAAAAAGTAGTTTATATTAATTACTTTTCATTCATCAATAACTCATTCGATCACCTGCATCGTTTTGTTTGTTATTGAAGCACGATAATAGAATATTCCTCCAAAACATATAAAAAAAGAAATATTCTATAGTATAAATTGATTATCGTGGAAATAATTTAATTGTGTGTGAGTAATGCTCAATACACAGAATGAATTAACAAAATAATGACATGTCTTTCTGTTTGTTGCAAGATAAGTGCATATACAAAAATATTCCGTCTGGCGAGGTAGAATGTGAAGAGATATGCACGTATGAACTTTATTTTTTCTTTTAATAATGCTGCTGTGCAGTTAGTCGTGAATGTACATCCAATGTATCTATGTTTCTTACATACAATGGTTAGCCAAACAATGTATCAGAACGGAGAATTAATCGAAACTCAGGAAATCGAGAATTGCACTTAAGTACAAGTACCGGGACAAATCTACTTGTGAAAAGACTAGCTATATTGACTTGTCATTTATATTCTACAATACTGAACACAAGAGAAACGTATTTACTGATACTGAAAATGAAATATCGTGTGTGTATTGACATTAAAAGTTTCTTGTGATTAGATGTGTTATGCTTGTACAAGATAGTATGATTTCAACTGCGTCGACGTTACAACAAGGTTACATTACTAAGGAAAATTTTCTATTTTGCTGCAAATGTGTTTAAAAAGAAATTCATCTTAGATTTCTTTTATACTGAAGGTCGATTCTGCGCCATACATTTTTCAAAAATATTCTTTTCTTCTTTGGTAACTAAATCACAATCGCTAGATGCACAACACAGAAGAAAAAACTTTGTATGATTGGTGTTTTCGAGAAATTTTTAGTGAAAACTGCAAATTCTAGTAGCTC